TCATAATTTCTAAGTTTATTAAGTTTTTAATTTTGCAAAGAAAACATATGTATGTCTTTGTTTTGTTTTAAATTAAAATTACTTCGAATGCCATAGTTCTTGCCAAGAGTGGTTATTAATTTCGTTAAGTGATCTTTTTTTTCTACTTCTCTGAACGTCTTGAACACTCAGCAAAATCCTTGCCTTTCTTTTAATCTTTTTAAAAATTAAGTTTCTCTGAAAACGCATATAACTTGAAACTAAAGAACCTTTTTTGCATTGATTGACAAAATTTATCAAAGAAGTTTTGCAAAAACTTATCGTTTGTTTCGTAATGGTAAACAATTTTTACAGATCTTTAGCTAAGTTATCTTTAAAAATGCGGTTCCAGTGATAAATTGAAATTGCCGTTATCCTATTTGCCTTACATATGAAAATTAAAAATACATAAAGTTAACAATTATAAATTTAAATATCTTGTTGAATGAAATAGAGATAAAAGTGAAATTTTGTAAGATCGTCATTCTCCATCCTTTTTAATGATTAAGTTATTGCAGACAGAGAACTAAAAATGCGATGAATTTTCTGACATTTCTTAATTGCAATTGTCGTTTTTAAAAAAGTGCAATAAAGCTACTGCAGTTCTACATTTTTATAAACAATGCTTTACAATAAGACATTTTTATTAAACATAAATATTGCAACCTAGTTATAAATTAGTACTGCGTTTTTAGAAGAACCGATTCTTATAATATGAATGCATGAAGTAAAAATTAAAATAATTTTCCTTGTTTTAAATTATAATTTATTTCTAGTTTTTGTTTTTTGTTCTGAATGAAAATCTATATTTTGCACCATAATAGTCCCAAATTTAGTTATATACTAATTTTAACTATACTTAAATAATATTTTAATTAAGTAAATTTAAAATAATATTTGAGTTTTACTTAAATAATAATTTACTTAACCGGAGAAAAATAATTTAGTTATTTACATTTTTTATTATTTCTATTTATTCAATTAATTATTTAATCAATTTAAATGAAATATTAAAAAAACTATATTTCTAATAAACATTTAAATTTTTAAGTTTTTTTAAAATTTTGCAAATAATAAAAAATATATATTATATTATGTATGTATATATACATAAGTGGATATTGAATTTTGTTTTCCTTTTTATAAACCATGCTTTTTTTTTGCTATTGTGCGAATATAAAATTATCATTACCTATACAAGGTACAGATCTCACATAACCAAAAAATTTAGTATGATTATACAACGAAATTAAATAAATATAAAAATTATATTAGAGTAAGTTTATTCGTTTTTGTTATTATCCTCGATATTCTTAAGAAAAATTCATACATCCAATTGTAAAAAGAGTAGAATATGTGAGAAAAGTTGTATATAAATCATGTCTTATGATTGAATTGGGCTATAGCATAGGATTGATTTAAAACCGTGACTTCAGTAATGCTTTATAAAAAGTTTAAGCACGGTTTTAATACCGTAGTATTACCGTCTCAGAACTTTCAATACCTTTGCATTGTAAAACAAGCTGCTAAAGCTTTTGATACATTTTGGAATACAATATTTACAATATTAATACATACTTTGACGTTTGTTTGAAAGTTTCAATTTAAAGTTCTGTGTAAATGTTAAATTTCAACCACATCCTTAAAACCATAGCATTCTTATGCTGCACTTTAGGAAAAAAACTTAAAACTAGCACTTTATTGCAGAAAGTATATGCTAGTTTATTTAATTGAATTATTTCTGGCAACATTTTTATGACATATAAGGAAAGCGTGCTCGATTTTTTCGATACCCAATTTACCTTTGTTTTACGTATCCACTTCGTATAGAACGCATTTAGGAAAAGTACACAATGTCAAGAGCTTTTACTAAACTTTTTGGAATGTGATGCATTGTGAAGTTTACGTCGCAAGCGCATTATTGAAGTCAAGGAAACTATAGGACACCTTTCTTGCTTCAAATTCTAAATTTCGAAATTATTTCATTATGAATTGTGTATTTTTTTTTCATTGAACATTTATTTTAAGCAATGTCTTTTCACTTATACTTAAAAGTTTTGTTTTATTTAACAAATTAAAAGGTTGGAAATATTATAAGTTTTTGATTTCAACAAAGAATGAAAAAGATTAAATAATAAAAAAAAATACATGATTGTAAAATTTTTTCATAACAAAATTTAAGATTAAAGAAGGTGTTTCAATTTTTTGATAATCCATAAAAAAAGCATTCCATTATAATTGTTTTTATATCTAGGTGATCCATTAGGAAAAAAAATTCAAATTTAACGTTTCATAATTAAAATTTTATCAAAATAGTTAATTGTGTTGAAATATCATGTGAATGATACTAAAAACATATACAATTTCCTTTGCAATTTCGCTTATTCTAAATTCAACATTTTGTGAAATCAATACGCTTACTATGATCTTCCAAGGGAATGGCAGGGCGAGTCGAATGGACTAGGCGAATCGAAGGGCTTGTTAAATTATGATCGGCGTATGCTTCCATTCGCCAGATCCAAATTGTTGCTACCGCAAGACACAAAAAAACCTACGGTCAATAATACCACACTTTTTTGCAAAAACAGTTGAATTTTCCTATCTTTAGCAATTAAGAGCTCGTTCTCCATTAATTTAATTAAATGCTCGAATTTTTTTTGATTCGTTTTTTCACGCTTGAATTAGCATTAAACAATCAACATTTTTTACAATAATTTGTAGAATTCTATGAACTTATTTTACAGTTAGTTTAGATTTTTCCATTATATCACTATAAATGCTATAGATGATATCCAATAAAAAACGCTTATGTATTATTTTGATTTGACAGCTCATTCGCCTAAAGTTTAGACGAATTCGCTAATCATAATACAAAAAATTCATATTCGCCAAAAATTTCACTCGCTTCGCCGATCATAATTAAAATTAAAAAAGTTCATATTAAAAAATTTTTACAAAAAAAAAAAGAGAAAATTTGACTTCATGCTGAATTCAACTTCGGCCGAATTTGATTTTCAGATTCATTCCACTCAGTTTTCTACAAAATAAAAATTAAGCTAAGCGCACTCAAAAATATTTGTAAAATAAATTTATAATTTTTCAAATTTCTAATTTCATATTTATTTTTAAATTTTTACTTATTTATTTTTCTTAATTTTCGAATAAAAAAACCTTAACTTGAAGAAGACATTTTAACAATACCAGCAATAATATTTGTATAAATTAAATATCCCTTTTGAATGAAAGGAAGTTTTCCTCATTTCAAAAATAATTGAAATATTATTTTTGATGTGTTGTTCCGACATCAAAAGATATTTTTATTAAAATTTATTGTTTTCTTTTTAATTTATTTTTTCGGAGTTTACGGATAAAATTAATTTATTTGTTAAAAAGTATGTATTTTTGGAAACACACATGAAAAATATGTAAATATGTAAATTTTTATGCAATTGAATATAAAAATTTAAAAATAAAATCAAGCATTAGACTACTGCAATATACTATGTAAAACTATACAATTCGATTTCGATTAGATTTTTTTAGAAAGTTTCTCAACTGAAGAAATTAATCAATACAGTAGAATTCGGATAATTAGACATCAAAAATGTCCTAAATTATTATTCAATTATGAGAAATATTCATAAAACGTAAACTGCTAATAAATGCATAAATGTTGAAAATAAAAGAAGTTCTACTAATTGCAGAAATATTGCAATTAAAAAGACTAATAGTTTTTAAAACTATTTAATTATAAATAGTTATAATTTGAAAAATTATAAATAGTTATAATTTTTCAATATAACTATTTAATTTTTATATTCTCAATTTAATTTTTTGTTTAACATAATGGATAACGTTTAATGAGACGTTCCAAAATATTGCCGCTCCACTTTATCCATATCTGAAAATTATTTCTATATAAAAACAAAATGTAAGAGTGAAGTAGTTTTCAGGAACGCAAATACGTACATATATATGACTTTTTTTATGTACAAGTTTCACAAAATCCCGAGTAATTTAAGAAGCGTTTAGCATAAAAAGTATTTAACAACATTGCAAAAAAGTCATGGCACACAAAAATATGTTTATTCAAATTAAGTATTTATCATAATTGCATTTATCCGAATTCTATTCGTAAAATTATTGAATTGAAATACCAAATAAAAATCATACGTCTTTAATAAGAGCGAACAAAATTTGTATACATCTAAGATTAGATATCTGTCAAAAAATGCCTTAATTTTTTTGTTTGACATAAACTTCGTACCTTAGAATAATATTCATAACTTCAAGTATCATGTATACATATATAACACCGACATTATTATACATTTCGTGAGAACCAAGACATAACATTCATGCATAGTAGAAATAACTTTTTTAGCAACAGTGTAATTGCATGAAACGATTTCGCAGATTATCTTTTAAATTTTCTTGTTTTTATTTTTGATTACACTAGATTTATAGTTCACGAAACACTTAGTATTTTATAAGTTATACTTAATACATTTATGTTGAAATGTATATTTACATATTTAGAATTAATATATATGTATTTATATTTATTTTTTTATAATATATATATATGTATATATATATTTCAAAAATATATGCATACAAACTTTCTACTTAATATCATAAAAGTATCTACATTTTTCTTAAATTATCTAAAAGAGGAGAAAAGCAAAATGTTTTAATTTCATGAAATATATTAACAATATAAAGTTAAAGTTTCTGTATTTTAAATTCATTTCTTAACGAATTTTAAACTCAGTTACCTTAAATTTTTCAAAAATCAAATTTTAATATCAAGATATGATTGGAAAAAAAATATAAAAAATTAATTTGAAATAATTGATGAAAAACTTCAATAGGTATACATAGAAGTTCTTTGCTATGTTTCATTTCATTCAATTGGCATAATTAATAAATCAAAATAAGTCATAATTGAATAGAATATGGAATTAAGAACAACAAGTTGTAAATATACTCAAACTTACAGAATATATTACACAATACACAAATATATAAAAATAAGTTTTGCTTTTTTCCATAAGAGTTATTCACAATTTTTTTACTTAATTCTTTTTTTTTAATAAAAAGATAAATTCTTAAAAACAAAAAAAATTTTGCTTTTTTTTATAATTTCATAAATTTATCCGAGTTTCATAATTAAGTTTCAGATATATTTTTAATTTTCCTTATTTTACTTTTATTACTTAAATTTAATTTTAAATTATCTCCTAGTTCTACATTAAAAATAGTATCCAATAACATTTCCTTATCATATGGGTATGAACGTTTACGATAATTGATTGAATTTACTCTTGCTGTGTGAGTTGCTATTTTGTCCATATTTGATATGTTTTTATTATTATTATTTATAGTTATGACTGATGTTGTGTGTTCCTTTAACTCTAAATTGAATTTTGGTTCTTCTTCTAAAAACGTATGGGGGAAATTTGATACAATATAATTAAATATGGTTCGATATAAAATATTTAAACTTTTTTTTACCTCTTCTATTAATTTCTCTCGTTCGCAATAAATTACCATCTCTTAAATTTTTTTTTTTAAGTATGCAGTTACGTTTAATTTGCATCATATTTAAACTTATTTTCCCATTTACATTATACTTATTACAATATTTATACAACTTTATTCGGTTAAATTTTTCATTTTCATTTGTATTTATTAAAACTTCTTCTATATCACCGTCATCACCAAATTTACAGCTATTCAATATATTACAATTTTTACACAAGATGTCTTTACAATAAATGTTCCCGTCTAACTGGTCAATGGATGTAATTTGATTAGCTTCATTAGCACCAACACCAATGTCATTCAGGCTGGTTTCATTTGTTAAGCTGGATAAATTTGTATCATTTGTTGCTTGTATATTATCAGAAGAAATATTATTTGTACTAGTTGCTGTTGCTATGACTTGTTGAACAATTTGTTGTTGCTGTTGATTATTATTAGACGAAACAATTGTGGCTTGTGTAGCATTACTAATATTATTACCACCTGTGCTATTATTATTGTTACTGCTACTTGCTCCAGTATTTGATATTGTTGTAGCTTTTTGTCCACCACTAAATAAATTTACAAAATTTTTTTTTGTTGGTAACATTACTAATTTTGTTGTTCCACCAGTTTGGGCAGTAGAAATAATTTGAGCTTGGCCAGAATTAGGGCCAGTATTTGCTGTTGATACAATAGTCACGGCTTTGGCGACTCCACCACCTCCTGCCATTTGAACTGTAACAGATTTACCACCAAGCGTTATTGTTTTTTGCGGTAATTGCTGGAATATTTGACCACCTTTTTGCTGTAAGTTTGATGGTAGAGTTAACGTTATTGGTCGACCACTAGCTCCTTGCACCCCTCTTATCATTTTAACTGTACTTGTACTACCACTTTGCGTATTAGATGAATGTGCTACACTTGTTGATGTTAAAGAACTTACTTGCTGAGTATTGCTTCCCACTAATGATATAATATTTCCACCATTAGCTGGTGAAACTACACTTGTGCCGGTTGAATTTGCTCTTAAGCTTGACGCAGTTGTTACAATTATTATTTGTTGATTTGTGCGCAATTGTTGACCTTGTTTATTTGTTATTACAAAAGCCGGTTTTCCTACAGAACTTGATGACATTTTTCCAACTTGAACTAAATTTGGAGATTTCATTAATATTTTGTTTGTGCCAATGTTTCCAACAGAAGGGGACATCAATTTAACTATATTTCCTTGCACTAACGCCGTTTTGTTCCCAGGTAAATCTATACAATTATATACAATTTTACAACATGAAAAATAAAATAAAAAATTATTTTGCATTTACTTGATCCACTTCCTATTGTCTGACCAGCAGTAACAATATGCTGCTGTTGCTGACTAGCTGTGGAACTTGATATTGACGTGTTTACTGTTGTGGAGGTACCGGCAGTTGCAGAAGCAGCAGCAGAACCTTTCACAACATTGATTTTTGGAACTGTTTGTACAGCCATTCCCGTTGAGGTTTTAATTAATTGAAATTGCACATTTTGCCCAGATAAAGTAAGAGGCTTTTGAATTATAAATTGTTTCCCACCAATTGTTGCTGAAGCTGTTGCATTACCTGAAATCGCAGCTACACCAGAATTAATACTTGTCGCAGCAATAACGGGGGATTGCTGTATGATATTTTGTGCATTTACTTGATGTCCAGTTGAGGTTTTAATTAATGTTGTAGGCGCTGAAGTTGTATTCGTTGAACTTAAACGAACCGTTTGTCCGCTTCCTAAAACTTTAACCGTTGATGTGCTTGTGGTACATGAAGGATTTATAGAAAGTGGTTCCCCTACCGCACTAGCCGCTACAATGCGAACTGCTTGTGTTTGACTTATAATAGGTTGTGATTGGGGAGAAGTTTGTTGTTTAATATTTGTATTTACTATATTACTAATGTTTCCCGAATGAGATATTGTATTGATTATCGTTGACGGATGCTTTATTTGTTTGGTTACATTTTGTACAATAGTAGATTGGTTAGTGGAGTTATCACTGTTATTTGAAGAACCAATTACACCACCTGCAGTGTTTGCTGTGAATTGAACGATGGTGGAATTTTGGTTGATTGCATTGTTTCCAGTGCAAGATGTTGGGGATGATATAGGTACATTTGATATCGAATTTAAACTAGTTCCACTCTGTTGTTGACTAAAAACTGAGCTATTTGTACTTTCGGATGGAGTAGTAGCTGTCGATGGCGTAGATAACAAATAAGATTCGCTCTGCTGTGAAAGTGAAGAATTGCTTTTAACTGGTGATTGAATGGAACCTGTAGGTCGAAGTACTTGAATAGGTTTTATATCTATAAATATAACATTATAATTTTAAATTTACACTAATTTGATATTTTTATTACTTGGCGCATAAACTCCTGCATTGTATTTTTGAGATAATGAAGAATTTGAAATAATTGGCTGCTCTGGAGATTTTTGCGGTTGTTGTGGTGATGGTATTTGATGAGATGGAGATGATGTTGTAGGAAAAATAGGATTCTTTGGCATAACAACTGGCGGTGGTGTATCAATTTTTTGTATTTCTAATATATAGGCCGACGCAAACGGAGTTGGCGTCCAATAAAGCTCCAATGAATCAGTTGAAGCCCTAACGAGTGCAACACGCGCAGCCGCTGGTGGAACATCAACTTCTAAAAACCACAAATCCTTGCAACAAACCTGGAATTTATTAATTTGGGTTTTCATTACACAATTAATATTAAATTTTCAAATTGACGTAACCATATAGTTTTTTATAGGTAAAAAGCAATAGTACTCGTATATAACTTTGACTTATGTATTTTTAACTCAAGATTTTAATTTGAAGCATTTACGTTTTACAAAAATATCAATTTAAATAGTTATTATAAATAAAAAATTATAAATATATTATAAATAAATTATAAATAAAAAATTTATAAAATCTAAAAAATTATCTATTTGAAAAACGAAAATATACCATGCTTTTTTAAATATTTAAAACAAAAAGTGAATAAATCTTTACAGTATAAGTAACATTAAAACTTGACTTTAACCATAAGTATTCGAACTATAGCATTTTTATATTGATTTTCATTCTTTAGGAAGAACGCTCACCCTAACCTGGTTGTTCCAGGCTTTTCTATAGCCATCCCGGCCAGACCAGATATATAAACGACTGTGTATGCCAACAGCACTATGGCCAGCCCTTGCTCTTGGAACGTTTTCTTCTGCAGAATCTAAAGCAACATCTCTCCATTGTAATTTTTCTAAATCTAAAACACCTAAAGTATTTGTGCATTTCCATTCCCGTTCATTAATAGGATTTTCAGATTCACATGGTATAAGAGGAACCCAACCTCCGAAAATGTACATTTTATTCCCGATTAATGTTGCACTGTGCAATGATCTTGGCAGAGGTGTTGGACCAAGAGTAACTGGTCTTGTCCACATCATGGTATCTATGAAAGTTAGTTTAAAATAAAACGAATGTCTTTGTTTTTGTTTTTTACCTGTATCTAACATCCAAAGGTCTCCTAAACGGCAACCTGACATGCCACCATAAATTACAAGACTAGATTTCCCAGTTTTTTTACAAGTGTAAGCAACACTTGTATGTGATTCACGTGGTGTCGGATTTTCACCGAATGTTGTAGGAATCTCCCATTTTCCATTATTATTCGAAGTCCTGATCTCCAATGTATAAAGATCATTTAAATATCTAAAACAAAAAATGTTATAATGTACGAAAAATATTTTTTTTGTTTTTTGTACTTAGGAATGTTATTTTTTGGATCTTCGCTTTCATTAGCTAAACCTCCAAATAAATACACTTTATCGCCAATTAAGGTAAAACTATGTCCCAAACGAGGGCTAGGAGGTTGTCCGTTATCTGGCGGATGCGGTTTTAATTTACGCCATTCCCATTTGGTTGCTTGAAGCTCGTATAAATCATTTGAATATTTTCCATATTCAAGCATTCCTCCAAAAACAAAAATTCTTGTTCCATCGACAACGAATCCGTATGCAGCACAACCTGGCGGTACTTCACCTTTCATAGCAGGAACATACCATTGATTTGTAGCTTTAAAAAAATATTTTAGTTTATTTTTAATTTTAAAAATGTTTTGTACATATTGATGTGGCTAACTTGTATTAAATACATGAAGCTCGTCAACAATTCCTTCATTTCCTCCACCAAAAACGAGCATTAATTCTTTGATGTTTACTGCCCTATGCCCATGCCTAGGTCTCGGTTGTGGTCCACTTGGTCTAACGATACGCTTCCATTTAAATGTAGTTAGAGATGATAATGCACATCCAGATTGTTCTGATTGAGGAGTTAAGCTCATCCTGCAGTAACATTTAACTGTTTAACAAAAACAAATTACAATTTTTAATTCTTGAAATTGGAAATTTTATAAGTTTATAATGATGATTGAATTACTTTAACTGCTACAAGTATCAAAACAATTCTGTTAATTTCTGAACATTGTCACTTTCTATGAAACGAACAGAACCAACTGGGTAAATTGATAAGTAATACCATATAAGTTTTATGAAAATAACTTTCTTACAACTATTTATATAAATTTAGTTTTTATTTCTAACCAAAAATTCTATTAATTTTTTGCAAAAATGTTTACTATTTTTATGTTCATTTTTTTCTTCTAATTTCCTTGATTTTTACGATTTGTAAACCGATTTCAATTTTAAAGTTAAAAGTTCTTAAAACGTACTTTCTAAATTTCTTTTGAAAAATAACTATTTTTCCAATTCAATGATTACTTATTGAAAATTCTCTTTAAATGGCGGTAATATTAAAGACTCTCCTTCTCTAAAAACTGCTGAGTTTTAAACTTCAAAAATTAATAATGGCGTCTTCGTAGTTTGACTGTAAAAACCTTAATAAGAGGAAACGAAAGAAATGATTTCGAAACAGAATTTATTGAAGAAAAAGCGAGAAGGTATAATAATAGACAAGAAGAAAAATTTCCATTTTAATTTAATTTCAATTTCACCCAGTAAATATGTTAACAATGAAATTTGCGTAGATTAAAATAATTACAATTCACAATTCTTCTTAGACATCGTTTACACATCAAGCAAAGTTTAACGATTTCGCTTCATTGGATGAAAATTTGGTGAAACTTTGACATATAAACATCCAATCAAATAAAGCAAAATCGTGTGAGAAAAATATTTTGGTCCCTTTTTTATTAAACTTTTTGACAGAAACAAAAAAAATGAAATAGCGAGGAAATTGGTATGATAAACGGAACCATTTTTTTATCATTTTTTTTTATTAATTTTTAAATATTAAAAAAACAATTATATGAATAACTTATTAACAATTTCTTTTTTATTATTATTAGCACCTTTAAGTTATCGTCTTGCAGCTCACCATTCTTCCAACAAAAAATTGTCGATTTTAATTACCCTACTAAGATATTCCAATGACATATAGGAAGCACCATCTTACAAATATCTTATGGTAATTATCAATTTCAGCTTGGCGCAAATTGTCTTTCCTGACCGGTTTTCCTGCTTTTTATTTTATTTTCCATCTAGAAAAAAGAGAAATATGTAAAGTTTATTTTCGGAGACTAAATTATTTAAAATACAAATCATGCCATGTAAAAATTGAAATGTATGTTTGATGCTAATGAAATTTTGAAAACATGACTCGCCATCATCTAGTGGTTGATCTGCGGATTGGTTGCAAAACCGACAGAGGATTTTTTACTTAATGATTGTTTTACCCATATTTTTCTTGTTCTTTCCTTGTTTAGCCATTGTTTTTCTTGCTCGATTTTTTCATTAGACAGATCAAACCTGTGGCAGTAGCTGCTAAGATTTTCTGAACTGCCATCTTGAATATATTTCTTTCTTATCTGGAAAAAAATTCGATGAAAACTATATTTTTCTAATCTTAACTTATTTTTTTTTTGGTTGATTTAAATGGTTGATCTTTGGTTATTAATTATTTATTTTTCCTGAAAAATACTTTTCTGAAATTAATTATTTTTCAATTATTTTTATTTTTCAAATAAATCACTCTCACTTTGCTATATATTATGAATATACTTCGATATGGATAAAAGAATAAAATTTGACACCACATTTAATCAAATAATTCTTCATGTGTAAACAGAATTTCTCATCATAGTTTTCCAATTCGATTGTCTAACTTTGTTTGATGTGTAAACGATTTCTTACTGTACATGACATTTTGCTAAAAAAGGAATGAAATATTAGGCGCGAGTTCAAACTTGGTGTTCTTCATTTTGTTCAATGGTGGTGAAAAGTGAAAAATATACATGAAGTGAAAATATAAAAAGCTTGTTTGCCAATAAAATGCGATTCGATACTATATAACTTTTTTTTATGCTAATGTCAAATTTGTAATTTTTGCAGAAACTATAAATCTTCGTCTTTCAGTTGTGTTTTTTAAGTTTTAATAGCTTTAAGTTTTGACAGCTAATTGAAGCTATTAGAAAAATTTATGCGAAAATGAGAAATAATTGATGTCAGTTTTTCACTTAAAGCAAAAGTTTTATTCCGTTCAATATTTTTGGTAATATGAGATATTTTTTCTGACAGATTTATAAAAAGACATTTCTAAAATTTACATCAAACATATTAAAAAGAACATTTTTTTTGTTTAACTTTGAATCAGCTATTCAGAAAACCTATGTTGAATCGGTAAAATATATTTTTGCCCTTTGCGCAAAAAATATTATTGTATAATATAGATTTAAGAGAAAATAATAATTTGAAAATGTATCACTTATTACAAATCTTTAAGGTTTATTCATTTTGATATTTGTATAAAATAAAAAACAAAATTTTTTCGTTTTCAATTTTCTGATTGTTATAATTGGCACCTTGAATTGATTTTCAGTTTTATCATTCTTTTTCGCTTTTTTGTATAACTAAAAAATTTTTGTTTACGCTTAATAAATATTTGGACATTTGACGTTTTTTCCCTATTTGGGAAAGTTTTTTCAAGTTCACCGTAGCATGTTTATAATACCCTGCACTTCGTGAAGTTAACATACCCAACTTTGGTATGGAGTTTGTAACTACTTGAAGGATTTATCTGCGATATGGACATATATATATATATATTCTTGCTCAGCGTAAAATTCTACGTCGATTTAGACATGTCCGTCCGTCCGCCCGTCCGATCGCACGATTACTCAAAAACGAATAATGCAATCTTTTGTGCCAAGAACGAACCCTATTGTAATTGGACTAATTCGGACAACGGGTTCGGGTAGCTGCCATACAACTCAAGGAGTTTATTTCAAATATTTCAAAAACTAATAAAGATATATATATAAAATTTTGTATACATGTGTCCAATTATATTCTACACATACTCTAAAAATTTTAATGGGATACCTGTAGCGGTTCGGGTGGCTGTCATACAACTCCAAAAGCAAATTTGTTATATTCGGAAAAATCATAAAGTCAGATTCATGAAGCTTGGCAATCATGTGTCCAATTATGCGTCAGATATGTTTCTGAAGTTTTAGTGGAATTGCTTGACAGGTTCCGGTACCTGCTCTACAACTCCAGAAGCTAATTTTAAATATTTGGAAAATTAATAAAGTCAGATTCATGAAACTTCGCAGTTGTGTGTCGAGTTATAGGTCAGACATATCCGTGAAGTTTCTATAGAATGGTTTCACAGGTTCGAGTAATTGCTATACAACAACGAAAGGTGCAGGGAATATAGTCTGAACTGAAACGTTTTTACTTCTTTTGATTTATAAATGAGAATTTTTTTCACTTTGTGGCAAGTGACATCCCATTTTTCTCATTTTGAAATTTTCAAATTCTAAACCAGGCAGACGTATTATTTAGCTGAAAATAACAATAATATCCGTCAACCATCTTATTTAGGTATATGAAAATATTTGTTTTGCATTTTATTTTAATAATTTTTTTAAAAACAGCATCAATGTAGTGATCGGCAACGTAGGACAATTTCGATGACGGCGGACAATGTTATTGTGTCTTTTTTACTACCGGTGGTAGTTTTGCTTGATTCTAGATAGCCCTATGTATTCTATACATTTTACTGTGGAAAATCGTTGTTATTCTGTTTTCAACTTTAAAGAGAAAAACAACTTACTAGAAATACAGCGGACGCTAGCGGTTCACGATTGCGTTGACGTCTGTAATTAAACGCCAGTTCCGGCAGACATAACTCCAATATTCAGCACTGTCAAAAGTGAAAATTTATCTTCAAAATGACGGCTTTTTGGTAATATTTTTTGTGCAAAATTTCAAAATAAAATTTTTAAAATAATTAAATTTTGCATACAAAAATATCTTTAAAATTAAGGTCTTTTATTGCTATTGAAGTTTTTCAGAATTGGAATTTTTTACACTTTTTTCTATATACGAGTATTCTAAAGTTCACAAAGAAAGATTTTGACCAAAAAGTCAATTTAATATGCAACTCACGTTAAAGCCTCTTCCATGACAAAAAAATTTTTGATATTCTCTATTTTCTATTCTTATATTAATGGATTTGACGCACTAACTAAATTATGGCTAATGTTATCACTCATCATATATCATTTCGCATGTCATTAGTTTTTCTTTTTGGTGTCCGATTGGGTTCGAATTAAAATTGTGATATTTTGGCTTCCTTCTTCGTTCAACTAAACTTCCATTGAAGATCTCGAACCGTTCGTGAAGATTTCTTTTTTTATCATATCTTCAAAGGAAAATTTTATTTTAAAAATATGAAGATTTTTGGGCGAATATATTTGGCAGAAATGGCAATATTCCGTAAATATATTAAATAATCTAAAACATCTAAAATATATGTGTCAACCGTGGTATATTTACATATGTTTACATAAAGAGAGTTTTGATCGAAGTAAAATATACGATTAAGTATATTTCAATTTTTATATCACACATGAATTATTGCATTGTGTATATAATAAGGTAGGTCATGCGATGGCACAAAATTTTGATGTCGAGTTTTCGATGGAAACGCACTTCTCTATATTAGAAAGTACTTTTAGAGAGATGTCGGCCTGTCGGTCGGTAGTCTGTCTGTGCACGTGTGTATATCAAGTTTGGCTGAACCGATTTTGATGAAATTTTATATGTGAGTTTATTTCGGCTATGGCACGGATTAATCAACTTTTGGGATATATCAGGCCTCGGGAACTGGATTGTTTAGCCGACCTGTTTTATATTTTTGACCATTTTGCAGAAAATATTCAACCGATTTATTGGAATTTTCGTATATAAGCTTCGCTCGATCGTCCGCGAAACCTCCTAACTTTTGGAAGAAGTTAGGTGTCAGCAACTGGACGTTTACTACGGGCCAAATATACATTTTTGCATATATATATTGAAATAATCAACCGATTTCATTGAAATTTAATATTTAAAATTGAGATATTGAAACAATGAATCTATAAAATTTTTTGGAAGGATCAGGGCTCCGAAAGTGATCTGGGTGCCAATTTTACATATTTTACCATATCTACGGAACGATTTGATGAAATTTCTTTAAATTTAATATTTGAGTCCTGGCTGTAACCAGAAGTTACGACGAACTTTTCGTATAATTCGGACGGCACAGAATGAAACTCAACTAA